ACAAGGGAAATGGTTCAATTTCTAGCTGTTCAGAAAGCAACAAACTTAATCTTACATCATGTTTATTTTAATCAATTGAAAAGTAAATTATATAGATATAAAAAAATAATAGTGGAACTAGTTATTCAAGTATTTAGTTTATCCATATATAAAACATTAACTAAAACATACCCAAAGGTCATAATTATTTGGTTAACCGTACAAAATCATTCAAAAGTTGAATAACGACAACTAAATAACCCAAACATATGAATTAAAAACAAAGTATTTCTAACAAAAAGACTGTCCGTTCAATCTCAGACATATACTAACTCGCCGTTCTAAAAAGAATAACCCAAACATTATATTGGTTTAGATGTATCATTCGGTCACCTTTACTTACATGTACAATTGATTTGTACATAATATTTTTTTGTCAACACACCAATTTATGTTTTATTTTATATGGGTTGTACAACATGCAAAAAATATATTATTGTCTTGTTTAATAAAAAACTATTGTGTACAAATCATCTACCAAATAAAACATCACCACTCATCTAGACAAACATAACTACAAACGAATGTAGACACAAAAGTAAGAGAAAGGATGCTGTCCCACTTGAGAACATAATAAACGACACCATTTGGCAACAAAACAAACAAGTTTAAGTGCTTTTGTGCAATGAATAAAGCTAGTCCGCACTAGAGAAGATATTTCAAAACAATCTGATTGATAGTCACAGAGATTTGAAATTTTAATTGATAAGCTCAACAACAAGGACCCCATAGGAATAACTATACATAAAGAGATGGCAATATAAAGGCCTACGACTATAAGGTTGTTCGGAGTGGGATTCGATTATGCTCGACGAATCCGAGTTGGACTTGACAAACACTGAACCACCACCTCGGTAAGCTCTACTCAATGTCGTATTCGGTGAGTATATACCGACTTTAAATGCCATACTTCAACCAATTAGCAACAAATCATTTTTAAAGTATTTTAAATAACTATAAATACAATCCTCATTCCTTCAAATACCCCATCAAAACCTTCTTCTATTCTCTCTTTAAAAATATCATATTCATCTTTTTCATCATCGGGTTTTTTTGATGTGTTGTTTGAATCGACCATAGAGGTCATTCAAGAGGTTGAACGGAAGATATAAGAATTACTACGTCAACAAAGTTCTGAAAATGCTCGCCCGAAAAAAATAAAGTTCATACAGAGAAATCGTGAGGCGGCTCACCTATGCCTCATGGAAGATTATTTTGACGAACACATGACTTTTCAAAGATATTATTTTCGTCGGCAGTTCCGTATGCACAAACATTTGTTTAAGCGTATTGTCAACGAAGTCACGGTAGGATGTCCATATTTTCAATAATGTGCAGATGCTAGAGGTACAGTTGGTTTTACTTATTTACAAAAATGCAATGCCGCACTTTGTCAACTAGCATATGCCACTTCCCCCGATGCACTAGATGAGAATCTTAGGATGTTCAGACATACTACACGAAAAATCTTTCACAAATTTTTTAAGTATGTCATGATATTGTATGGTCCACAATATTTGTGAAAACCTACTTGTAATGATGTCCAACAATTATATGCTCATGATTCTTCGAATGTGCACGACGTCACTGAAATGTTAGGAAGCCTAGATTGCCGCCACTGGGAATGTTGAAATTGTCTAAATGCATATCAAGGCCAATATATCCGAGATAATCATGGTTCATTGGTTCTACTAGTTCCCTCAATGCCATTAATTTTCTTAACATGTCTTCGTTATTCAACGACATGTATAACGTGACTACACCATATTTTTTCTTTCATATGCATAGACCGTCATATAGGTACATGTATTATCTTGTAGACAAAATCTATTTAAATCGTTCTTGTTTTGTGAAGTCCCTGTTTTGTACTAATGATCGCAAAAGGTTAAAGTCTAAGAGAGCTCAAGAGAAAGCTATGAAGGATGTTGAAGGAGGGTTTGACGCACTTAAAAAAGCATTGCCATATACTTAAGTACTCTGCACTTTTGGTTGATAGGAAAAAACTGAGTGATATGATGTATACTTGTATCATATTTTATAATATGATTCTTGAAGATAAAGGAAATGCAATATGTGAGTATAGTGAAAACGAGATCGTTCCACCGACACAAAAATTTGAGGTTGGAAGCGACACTATTACAAAAAGCCTAAAAAGACCCGGTTTTAAGCTTAATATAACCCGGTTTTCAATCGCGTCCCTTATAAGCGAGTCCTATGTTGAAATTCTGATATAACCCGGTTGTAGAACCGGGTCATATTTCCATAATAAAGACCAGTTTCATTACAAAAAAACTGGAGTTTTTCTTCTAACCCATCACCGTTTTTTTCCACCATAAAGGCCGGTTTTCATATAAGCAGTTGGGTTCTATTATGTATCTAGATTTTTTTTGAAATGGATATCGCAAACCTTATACAACCCAGATTCATTGCAACCGGCTCATTTAGCTGCTTTTTTTTATATTGCTTTTATTTAATCTTATAGACCTATTACCAAATATAATATGATATTCTATTTTTTTGCATTCAACAAGATGCTCTGTAGGTATAAATGAAAAATACTGTAAATTTGCATAGACTAAATAACCATCCATAGTAGATCGATAGAAACAACATCAAAGAAAAAACATGTCTGAGAATATAAATCCATCATTTCCATAATTTTGGTAATTTTCTACTACATAAAACTTCCATAAAAAACTAAAGAAAGAACATCCATGATCCACTTGTAGAGAGATTGTCCTAGACATCAAAACCAACTCTATATTCTGAAAAACAAACACAACAATAATGAGATTTCCAAAAGTAGAATGTTGTGAAATTAATAACTAACCATATATGCTTTTTTAAAGGACCATGTCATTTATATAATGATTCAAAAATTCTCTGGCCCATGTAGCTACGATCGAAACCAACATCTTTTCCTCAAAAGGAGTGTCATCATTCCAAAGAATACCGGACTATATGAGAAATAAAAGTTAATCTATTAATTAACAAAACAGAAAGTTATTGCAAATTTACAATTGAACCAATGAAAATATATTTAAAAAGTACTTATTTTATTTGGGAATCCATATTGTTTGGTCAAGACAAAGTCAAACATCCATCTCATTAATTAATGTCCACTCTCTAAAACACCAAGTTGTTGGTTACACTGAAGAATGGAGTAAAGAAGATGCAATAAAAGAATGCTTTAAAAGAAACAAAAGATGCAGTAAAAGAATGATTTAAAAGAAACAAAAGAAGGATGGAGTAAAAGAAGATTTGGAAGTAATCAAAGTTTCTTGACATTTTATTGTAATCAGCAAGTTGCTTCGCAAGTTGACTGTCAGAATTTTAGAAAGGAAAATAAGAAAAGCAATAAGAAGATAAAAAATTAATAAAGTAAAAGGAAGGAAAATGTGTATTACTTGGTTGTCTTGTTTGGAAGGGGAAGCAATAAGAAGATAAAAAATGGTATATTTCAATAACAAAGAAAGTCACGCCCTAATACACATCATCTTTTCTTTACATCAATATTGTTGAGGACATGACCAATTATAAATTTAGTGAAGAGTTCAACTCTATTACAAACACTACCAATATATGTTACTAACTTCCTTTATCATGTGTTAATGGAGGAATAAATAACAATAAACTAAATAATCCTAGAAATTAGTGGTATTTAACTAGATATCCTCAAAAATAATTTTATAATTATCTTTTGAGCTTAAAGTTTTAATTTTGTTTCATGATCTGTCAAAAAAAACATTAAATAATGTATGCCAATACATAAAACATTAAATAATGTATGCCAATACATAGTGATATGTTAAAAACAATGTTTTTTGAAAGTTGGGTCAGATGACCCTCTACAATTCGCATCCCATAGCAATAGAACCCAGTTGTAGCTATAAAACCGGGTCATATAACTCTGGAGAAATAAACCCGGTTGTAGCGTTGGAACGGGCTTGTTTATTTTAATCATTTAACTCGGTTTCATACTTTAAACCGTGTCATATTACTCTTCCTTTCATAAAACCCGGTTTCTACATAATATAACCCGGTTTTTTTTAGAAACCGGGTCCTATGTGGCGGGTCCTATGTAGCTTTTTGTAGTAGTGCGACGAGTACTTGATGAGACGAACAATAATTCATGATGTTAAGACATATCATGTTTTTCGTAGAGACTTGTCTGAACATATTCGGACCGTTGACCACATTTAGACAACCAATTTTCCGATCAAGATGTCCTTTAGGTTTATTTATATTTTGTTTTTTAATTTCTAGGTTTTATAATATTAATTTCAGTGTTTTGTTTTTTAAAATTCCATGATTTTTAGGTTTGTTGTAATTTCATTTTAAGTTTTATGAAATTTTAGTTTTATAATAATTTGTCCCAATTAATTATTTTTAATATAAATTAATCTAAAAAATAGCATTACAAACCTAATAACCCATGTCATGTAAATGACAAATTTTTACAGCAACATGGAAAATCTAAGTGGCCACTAGCAATCATGATACTACTCTCTGGCCTAAGAACCCACAATTAAATTCAGCAATACTAGTATCGCAACAACAAAGAATATACACATTCATCCCAACTAACAATGCTTTGAATGACTTATTACAAAAACAAGGGGAGATGACTGCTGAAGAAGAAAGGGTTACCGGACAAAAAAAAACTTGTGCTGAAAACTAAAATAAGTTTTATCATCACAATCACATACTACAGATTACATACACAAACATATATAGAATACAAGGCAACTTACGAACCAAAACAATGGTTGGTGAACTATCACGACCCTTTAGAGAACCGTTACAACTTTTGAGAATTAATTGCTACAACACCAACGATGTAACTGCCATCAATGAAGAACCGTTACACCATAAGGCTAACTTATAATCAACTCACATGGTGCAGAATGGATCCGTTTTATTTGTGGTGTCTAAAATCCTTGAACAAGGATTAGTTAATTTTATGGAGCAAAAGAAGTAGGAATCAAATGTAAGTGAGTCTTTTTTGCTGCTATTAATCCATCGGTCTCCGCCATATCAACATCTAGAGGATTTAATCCATCCGGGAGTTGCCAATTGAAGTAGTATAACATTTGCGCAAGGAAAAACTCGACTGTGGTCAACCCAAAATTCATGCCTGGGCACATTCTCCTCCCAGACCCAAATGGGATAAAGTGATAATTGATTCCCATAAAGTCAACTGAAGTATCTTCAAATCTCTCAGGCTTGAAGCTCTCAGAATCATCCCAATATTCAGGATCAGTAGAGCATGCCCATGCATTGATGATTAGCTTCATTTTCACAGGTATATCATAGTCATCAATTTTACAATGCTCCTTGCATACATGTGGGAGTAACATTGGTATTGGAGGGTGAAGCCTTAGAGTCTCTTTGATTACTGATTGCAAATAGGTCAAACCATGTACGTCTGACTCAATGATTTTTCTCTTCCCCTTGAAGGTTTCTATGACTTCTGCTTGCGCCTTTTCCAGCACATTCGGATGTCTCATCATTTCTGTCATAGCCCATTCAATAGTTACGGATGATGTATCAGTGCCTCCTGCAAAGATGTCCTACATCAATATAGAAAAAAGTTAAAATGTTTAGGAATTTATGAGCAATATCCATGTTCTTGGCAGACGTTTCTTTCACGTAGCCATCATTGCATGGTTATATATTGTACTTTTCATAGGCCATGCTTTTTGTGAATTGGGACGAAATGGGTCATTCTCTTGTGACATCCGAGGTTGTACACGTGTAACAAGAGATAAGAATAAAGATAACTTTTTGTTGTATTAAATGACAAGCTATCAATCATTGCTGTGAGTAAATTGACAAAATAACTTTGCAGTAATATTAAATCAAATATAGTGTAAAGGTGAATACGTACCATTGAAAGGAAAAAGCACACAATACTTAAACATAAAGTAACATTTTTTTTATGTGTGCATAAATTAAATACCGGTGATACGACATACGAGTAATGTAAAAGCATCACGTTATTTTATTTCGGAGGTGCTCTCCTTTATCTAAAAAAAAATCACAGTATCATCAAAACTCAAAAGCCCCAACCCAAATTGCATTCTCATTTCAAAACATTATTTTCATAACATTATAAAAAGGGGAAAAGAGCTGCAGTACTACAGTTTACTACATATTCGTTAATATTAAAAATAAGAAAATTGAAAAATTAAGTTCAAGTATAGCAGTGGTAAAAGAGAGAACATATTGACAGATGATGAACGTACCACAAAGATTGCTTTAATATTGTTATTCGTAATGGGGAACTCAAGATCTCCTTCCTCTTTGATTCTAAGAAGAACATCAAGAAGATCTTCCTCTTGTTCCCCTCCATCTCTCTTTCTATCATCATGCTCCTCCAAGATGTCATTGAAGATTCTGTCAAGAGTCTTGTGCAGCTTCATTAACTTTGATCTCAGTCCAAAAACCACGTAAAGAAACTTAAAATCTGGAAACAAATCCGCAACATAAAACCCACTATTTACTCTTGCAAACTCATCCAGGAACTCTAGGAGGGCATCCTGGTGTTTACAGTTTTTTCCGAAGGAAGCTTTGCAGACAACATTATTCACCAATTCCGTGATGGTTTTGTGTATGTTTATGGGTTTCCCTGAAGATAATCGGAGAAAGTTCATGAAACCGCGAAGTTCTTGCTCTCTTATTGGACCAAATGATTGAACTTTTTTGGCACTAAGGAGTTCTAAGGAGGCGATCTTTTTCATTTGTCTCCAATACTCACCATATGGAGCGAGGGCTATATCGGTGTTCCTATACAGTACAAGCTCACTCCCAAAAGTCTTGGGACGATCTGCAAGTGCAACATCATGAGTTTTAAGTACCTCTTTTGCTAGTCGGGGTGATGAAATGATAACTACTGAAATTTGGCCAAGTTGGATATGCATGATGGGGCCATGTTTTCGTGCAAAGTCTCGAAATGCACGGTGTGGGAGCAGTCCCGCTAGCTGGTGAACGTTCCCTATTAGAGGTAGCTTTGGTGGCCCTGGTGGCAGGTTTAACGATTTTGCTCCGTTGGTTCTCTTGTTGAGAACAAAGTAAAGGAAGAGGATGACACAGGAAACAAATAAAGAGAAAGCTATTTCGGTATACATTGTTTCAGCCTTAGCAGTAGGAAAAATGAACATCCTCTAGTAGAAATATATTCACATGTTTATGGGGCTCATATATAATAAAGCCGTGTTATGTGAACCATTAAAAAAAGAGAAATATGCCAAATTCTATAAAATATTTTTCAAGAAATAATCTAAATTTTGTTAAATGTTCAAAATAGTCATATTTTCCGGAATATGACATGACATGCTTCATGCTTGGTGGTCCTCTCCCAATATATGCTAAAAAGAAAAATTTATTTTCTTATTTTCTTTTACACACTAATTTTGTCGTATATTCCGAAAAACTCTCTTAAAATGGAAGAAAAGACAATACCATGTGCCCGTTATAATAAGTTTTGCCCTTTCCCATTTATTTTAGGTTTGTTAGTAAAATATACCTATGGAAAAGTCCATTTCTCAAATAAATCTAACATTAGGCTATACAAAATGCTATTTTCTCATTCATAAATAATATTTTTACAATGCCATCTAAAAAAATGTCAACTTTGTCTAGAAAACCATACTTTCTCCTACATATGTAACATTTTCGCATGTCATATAGGAAAATGTCAGGTCTATCCAACAAAATGTGTATTTTCGTAAAGGGAACTGACATTTTTTAATGCATATAGCATCTCTGAAAATACAATTTTATTAACGTTATTGAATTTGAACACTTTTTAATATAGCATGAGAACAAACCATTTACTAGGCAGAACAATGCCATTGCATTTGTAGGTAATGTTGATCAATGCCATTGCATTTTTAGGTAATTATGTTAGTGAATTATAACCGATTAAGAGGAAGACAAAGGACGTTGTTTGAGTACCTAAGGCTGCGTGAGATCCAGTGTCTTATTCATGGAGTCATGTTACATAAGGTCCGACCAATACTCAATTATTGTGTCGTCTTATGGACCTTCCCTAGGTTGATTTGTTGTTGGCTCGAGATTGTTTGGGTGATGAATGAGGCTGTTTCAAGATACTACTGAAGCTAAGAGGTAAGGTCAATAATATAGTTTAATGGAATGAACAACATACATTCTCTTAGTTGGGTGTTAGAAAGTATGTTGTATTCTTGGCATAACAAATATTTAGATCAAAAGAACATGCATATTTTTTATGAGTGATGTACGAGTAGTACCAAGTTGTAATAAAAAATAAAAGTAAAATGCTATTATTAACAAGAATATCAAGGTATTTCCATATAATTGTTTACTGTAACATATTTTCAAATATTTTATTTTTTCAGCTAATAGAAATAAATAACATCCTACTTTTTATTTTGAAAAATACAATGTTTTAATAACGTAAATGAAAGTAAAATGCTATAACAAAACAAGAAATAAGAAGTTGCTTTCTTTTAAATGTTTATTATAGCAACTTCTTACTTTAATTTTCTTTTTCTTTTTCCGGCTAACATGTCCAAAAATTACTTTTATTTTCTGTTTCTTACAACACTTAAAAATCACCCACGTCTATCATTAGTCCAACCAGTCAAGATTAATAATGATATACTGTAACACCCGGATCCGCGTGTATAATTTTCATTGGACTTCCTTTGTCTCTTTTTATATTTTATGCCCTACGCATGGCGTAGGATAGCCTCCTATGTTGAGCGTAGGAGGAGAATGCATGCAGGGATTTAAAGACTTACACAGGGCGTAAGTTTAGCTACGTGATACATAGTTCGCAAGATTAAAAACACTAATTTTGGGGGTTGAGAGCCTATTTAAAGGCTCTAACTCCTGGAGGGCCTCTTCATACCCAACCTCCATCCTCCTATCCGGTCCCCTTCGAAACCCTAACCTTATTTGTGAGAATATTGAGGTTTAAAGTGTTCTTGTGTGCATCTTTGAAGGAAAAGCCCATTAGAAAAGCATCTAGGAACTCCAAGCCTTGTAAATCTAAATCCTTCATCTTGTTGTCCACCTCCAGAAGATATAAAGTTCCCATCTTGGCAATCTCTTATGCTAAATCTAGTTAATTATGGACTTTGATGCTTTCTGACCCATAACTTTGGTTCTTATGTAACACCCGTTTCTGGTATGAGTTAATTTCAAATTTTAAAATTTCATTTTAGGGTGGTCACGCCGTGGTGGGGCTTCACCACGACGTGACAGAGCTTTTTATGATCGTGGGATTTTAGTGGCCCGCCACGACGTGGTAGTTGTTTTTGGAGAAAACCTTAATCCTTAGGATGTAGGCTATATTTAGAGGACAATAAAGCCAGGCTTCATGATCATTCTGAAGGGTTTTGAGCATTCTAACACTCCTATGGTGTACATGCAACCCTAGAAACCTTGGATCTATGTTTTACTAAGATACATGGAAATTTGCTTTTCCAAGGTTCTTAACCTAACTAGCATGACATGGGTAACTTTGAAAGTTGGCAACTCCTCTGGGAACTTCACATCCAATTTCAGCAAACGGTCCATATACCTTTGCATTTTCTGCATGTGCCCCGTGATGGGTTCACTATCCTTCATCCGGGTTGTTATCATGGAGGAGATGATTTCATACTGCTCTTGAAGAGCACTCTGATGGTAGCGGTCCATCAAGTCCTGGTGCATCTCAAAAGGGTAATAGTCCTCATAGGACTTTTGGAGCTCGGCTGTCATTGTGGCCAACATGATACATGCCACCTTAGTGGCATCTCTCTCATGTGCCTGGTATTCAATGATCTCCTCAGGAGTAGCAGATGACTCATCAAGTTCCTTAAGGTCCTTAACGAGGACATATTCCTTGTCCTCATACCGAGTGACCATCCTGATGTTCTTGAACCAATCTATAAAGTTGGATCCATCGAAGATGACTCTCCCACAAAGGTTCATGAGAGAGAAGGAGCCGGTAGGGTTTGAGCCAGAAGTAGCATTGTTGGATAACATTTGAAAAGAAGAAAGACAAGTTTAGATTAGATATAAAGATAGTCCTCAATAAGACACCCAAATGTAATATTAAGGCTAGGACCCAACACAATATTTTATAACTTAGAAAAGGGATGCCGTAATCCAAGCTATAAAATATTTGAAGGTAGGTGAATGAAGATTAACCAATTTCCACCATAAAAAACGAAATAAATTATTAGGTTTTAATTAGTTTTGAAACTCCTGGATTCTTTGAGATTCATTGAAGTTTTCAATGGCATGTTTCAATCTTGAGTGTGCCCTTCAAGTTTTGTGACTGGGATGCCGAGAATCACAAAACAAGGTGTGAAGTAACCATGCAAATTACTTGGTACTCTTAATGTTTATCACTCAATCGATGTGCCGGTTAACCACACGCGCTCCACCGACCTATGATAAACCTTAAGCCACCCTTTGCCTACCTTGTTAACTCCAGGTTAGTGTACTGGTTAACCACACATGCTCCACTAACGACTTAATCAAAGTGCAAAGTGTAATTTCGTGGGTTAGCACCTTATTCACATTTTCCTAAAGTAACTAAGATTAAGAATTTATAAAAACATTTAGTTACTTTACATTCATCATAATTTTAATGAGGATTAAAGTCATTGTCCTACCCGTTCGGCTAACGACCCTCCACCATTCAAGGAAGCGGTGGGTGAGAGTGGACACCCATTAAGCTGCCATTTTATAGGCAACAACCTTATACCCCCTTATAGACCGGCTTCGTGAATGAGGGCTATAACGGCAGAACGACTTGTTCTTATACATATATATATATATATATATATATATATATATATATATATATATATATATATATATATATATATATTATTAACTTATAATAGTATAAAGTATAAGGGTTGAATTTTAACTTTTAAAATTCTAGGTGTTGGAACTAAAGTTTAATAAAATGTGTGAGACTTTACATGTTCCAAAACTTGACCGCAAGTTTTGTAACTTTCAAAACTTTTCATCTTTCATAACTTATGAGTTAATGGTTTATTAAAATGAGAGACTTTTCATTTTATGTAACCTATGTGTTTATTAATGGACTTTAAAAGGATGAATTTTGGTAATCCATAACTTGAGGACAAATTATGGATTCCATTAAAACACATCAAGATCAAGAATTAAATTAACAAGCAAGTTGCAAATAATTCCTATGATCTTCTAAACTCGTAAGTGTATGAACATTCATATCAACAATTTCAAGAATCATAAATAAACCATACAAAACTTGAAATATTGATAATAGCCATTAAAAATGGATTAGCATAACCATTACACCATCTAAAACAAGTTTTATAAGACCAAACCAGTTTAGGGTAATGTTTATAGTCCATTTCCAGCAGCAAAACTCGAAAAACTGCACTCTGGGCATTCTACTCGTCGAGTGCATGAACCTACTCGACGAGTAGGAGGATTTTATGCATGGACTCATCGAGTCCCCCCATGGACTCGGCGAGTTCACTCAGCAGAATGCATATTTTTCGACTTTTTTCAAAAATTTGCATCAAGTATCAAGAAAACAAGCCTAGTCTCTGATACCACTGAAGGGTTTTGAGCATTCTAACACTCCTATGGTGTACATGCAACCCTAAAAACCTTGGATCTATGCTTTACTAAGATACATGCAAATTTGCTTTTCCAAGGATCTTAACCTAACTAGCATGGCATGGGGAACTTTGAAACATAATAACCTAGTAGAGTTACATACCTTTTAGTAGTGGTTGATTGCTTGGAGTTTGAGAGCCTAGCACCAATAATGTGGATGCCTCAAATGGAAGTCACAAATCACCACAAACCTTGGAAACTTGAGAGAATAGTAGAACACTTCTAGAAATCGGCCACCCTTAGTTCTCACACAAAAACTAGTGCAATTTCAAGTGCCAAGGACTCCTTTATATAGTGTGGTGGATTAGGGTTACATCCATGTAAACCCTAATACCCATGACCTTTCATTTCCATGAGATCCATGGGTTAAAGCTCCATGGACTATCCATGGACTTACCATGCAAGCCTAGCCCATTCTAAATAAGCATTAGCCCACACTATATAAATACAAGAGTCCATATTTAATTAGTCACACTTTTGATCACCAAATTAATTCTAAATTAATTGT